CCCACATCTCGGCAGAACTGAGCGGCTGCAGCAGGCAGAGCAGAGACAATATATTTGCGCGTACCTTGCATGTACTGCGTAATGTCATCAATGTATGATCGAATCGGCACCACAGGGAGACGACTGTGTGCACGCTCGAGCACTCCATGCAGATATGTCTTGACCCACGGAACCGACTGCGAACATCCAGCGAGCATAGACTTGCCCGTGCCAATGACCTTCGAGACCACCCCCTCCACCTCGAGCATTCTAGGGCTAGTGTGCACAAGCATGCCGAAGTGGAGGAGGTGAGGAGGATAGTCAACCTTCAGAGCCAGCTGCACCAAGAGGGCGGGCACAACAGAGTCAAAAACTTCTCCATGTCCCAATGCAGAGAGGCCGAGTCAAACTTCAAAGCGCCTGCAACTTCGCGGCACACTTCGCGCAGAAGCGCTGCTTGCAACGCTGAAAACTTACGCGCTGCACTATCCCAGAAGTCCGTGTGCTCAGCCGTCCATTCATGGATGTGATCACCACGCATACGTGCATACATGCGGTACATAGTGGAACACTTGCTGATCGCGCGCTCGTCGTGCACAGACTTGGGAAGCAGCGCCATGATATTCAAGAAACACTGCTGCGGAAACGTCAGGGCCTGCTCGCACATATTGAACAGGGCTGCCAGACACTGGACCGCTTGCCACGGTAACTGCAGGAAAGCCCTGGGATACCATTGGTCGACACCTACAGCAGTGCCACTAGCAAAACACGTCGCCGCCTGCAAGACGCCCCGAGGCTCAAACTCTGGCAACTCCAGGAGGCAGGTCTGGGCATGGGACCTGAGCTCACCGAGGGTATCATTGAGAACCTGCAAATGCTCCTTCGTGGGGGTCCACCAGCGAGCCCAGATATCTTGCCTATACTTCATCATGTCGCTGGGGGTTTGTCGGATGCCGTCAGGCGCGACCAGGTACTCCACCGCCACCTTATCATCACTCTTCAACCAGTTATGAACCTTCCTCGCTCCTCCTGGTAACGCATCCTTCAACCACTTCCTGATTCCAGCAGAATTAAAGGCCTTAACCTTGCCCCAGGCGAGCTTACAGACGTCGGCGGCCTTATCCACCAACCGGTGCACGAGATCAGGCGAGTCGGGGAGGCCGGTGAGGTCAGCCATCCATTCGCTAGCATCAGCAGGGGAACAGAGAGGCTCAAAATTCAGGTAAACGTAGTTTGCCTGCCCAGCGAGAAAGGAAGCCAAACGCCTAGCCTGCGCCAAGGTAGTCTTCCCACTGAGAGCTTTCCACAGTCCGAACAGCCGAGAGTACACCATGGACCAGAAACAGAGGTGCGGAACATTGATGGCCTGCTTGTTGGGCCCACGCCTCCGAATCGTGCCCGAAAACCTGGAGACAGCACTACCCCGTCCCAGGAGCCGCTCAGGTTCGTCAACCACCGCACATCCCCGAGACAGGAAAATCATTTCCGAGGTCCTCGACCACAAGGCGTAGTCCTCCGAAAGCCCGTCAGAAACATGCTGCAGGGTATGCTCTAGGGTAGCTTCCTTGACATCAGGAGGTGTGCGCCAGTCGAACCCACTTGCACAGGCCATATTCAAATAGTACGGCCACAGATGGTCAGGCCCAGCGGCAACAGGAAGCGCACCAGCCCGACCTCTACGTTGGACCACTTGCTCTAAAACATCCGCGTCTACCGTGACATGCAGGCATGCGTGCGTTTTGAACGGGGACTCCAACGCCGTCCGAACCTTCGCGAGGGGGGCCACGTCCCTGGAACACACAGCGTAGTCAATCATAGTCATACCCACGTCACACGTGCAATCAACATCGTCAGGAACTCGAACCCTGGACCAGGTGATCTCCAGGAAACCCGACTCCATCAACAGATCAGGCGACATATTGAAATCACCGAGCAGGACCCAGGGAACACCCAAGGTGGTAATGAATTCCGCGATTTCTCTCAGCCGAGACAGATTCTCGCCCGTCGCCCCAATGGGCGACACCAGGTACACAACACCAATCGCCATGGAAACCCCGTGAAGCCTGAACTCCAGGAAGAACCAGCACGTGCCCGAACCAACATTCACAGCCTGGAGCCCAGAGAGAAAACGCTGGCAGGACAGACCCTTTTGACAGAAAGCTGCAACGCCCCCATGAGTACCACCTCCTGGAGAGTCGAGAGCAGCCTGGAAGAACGGGTTCCAACCCATTACTCTTGCATCCTTCTTGGCCTTGTGAACACCATCTTGCCGAAGATGGTGCTCAACGATGAGCATGGCGTCCATCTCAGATATCCTGGAAGAGAGAAAACCTTTGGTGACATCAGACCAGCTGGTAACGTTGCAAAACCTGATCTCGATGCCATCCTGCTTGCCACGTCGGCGCCTCGGACGCGGCGGGGCCGCCTCGCTAAAGGCGGGGCGGGGCTTCGCCGTGCGCTGATGCGGCCGCAGGCTGCGGCGGCTGCCCTCCAGGCGCCGCCGCTGCCGCTGGCTGCTGCTGCTGCACGGCAGGCTCCGCTGCTGCCGCGGGCGCCTGCCCTCCTGCCGCTGGCTGGCTGCTAGCGAAGGTGAGCTGGGAGGCTGCCGCCGAACAGAACAAAGAGAAAGTGGCAGAAGATTGGTCACGAATAGCCTTCTTGGCGCGCTTGCCTGCCCGAACGCGGGCGGCCTTGCTGAGCAGGACTCCGTAGCGTTCAGAGGCTTCAGGAGTGAGTCCGCGCTCAGCTGCACGCTTGCGCAGGGCTGCCAGCTCATTGAATTCAGGAGAATCAGGAGTCTCAGTGCCTGCCTCACTCTGCGCCTCTTCACCCATGTCGAAATCGACCTCGGCGCTGCGCTGCTGGATGGCCACCTTGCGCATCTCGATCCACTGGTCGGGCGAGAGGTGCGACCGATGGTGGAACCGCTGCAGCTCAGCTTCCGAGAGTTCATGTAGATGTTCTTGGACCCACTGGAAGTCAACTTGCCCGCTCTCAGTGATGCCAGGCAATTGCGCACCTGGAGGACCGTGAGGAGGTACGCCAGCGCCTGGAACACCCTGTACACCAGGTTGGCCGCCTGCACCACCAGGTTGAACTCCTCCAGCATCTGCGTCCTTGCCCACGCCCCTGGCTGCACGAGCGACTGCGCGGGCATGCTCGGCGGCTGCCTGCTGCGCCGCTGCTGCCGCTTGTTGCTCAGCACGTTGCAGTTCGAGGCGATAGGCATCAGCATTGCAATTATCCTTCTCATGGTTGGCACGGCGAAGTGAGTCCACGGCCTCTTGCAGCTCCGTATCCTTTTCCGCGTGCTTCGACTCAGCATTGAACAGGACGTCCCGAGCGCGCACCACGGCCTGGCGACGTTGTTCCACATCCGCTTGCAGTACCCGTTCCTTGCGACTGGCCATCTCCACCGCCTTCGAGAGCACGCTGCGCTTGGCGGCGACCTGCTTCTCGATGTCATTGTCCGTGGCAGGGACGTACGCCTCTGGAGGCGGCGGCGGAGCGACTGCTTGGAGCTGCCCAAGCACAGTCGCGTAGGTGGGGTACTTGGCCGCCAACGCGTTGAGGTCAGCAGCGAAATCAACTTGAGCAGCAGCAGGTGCAGGAGGGTGCGCGCCAGGGCCATCGTCGACATACGCGCCTCCGCACTTGCTGCACTCCGTGGGAGGAGGAGAAGGCGGGGGGGGAGGTGGAGGAGGAGGAGGAGGAGAAGGAGGAGGAGGAGGAGAAAGAGGAGGAGGAGGAGGAGGAGAGGGAGGGGAGGAGGAGGAGGAGGAGGAGGAGGACGACGAGGAGGAAGAGGACGCCGACCTCCGTTCCCAGAGATCCGATGGCATGCTTTCTGCAATACGGGGTCCCTGGCACACGCACCCAAACCTTTCCCCAGGGTCGGTCTCTCGCCCTGGCGAGGGCCCCCGCAGGCCGAAGCTGACAAAACACATCCCTCCCGCCCTGATGTTGATTTTAGACGCGAGCATGTCTGGGCTACGCGAGCCTCGGCCCCAAGTCCCCCACCACGATCCGGTGGCAGACCCGTCTGGCCGAGTCGAGCAGGAGAAGGGCTGGCCGCGGAGGCCCCCGAGGGGGTGCAGAACCATATCGCCAGCCACATAGCCAGAAGCCGCCGGGTGGGGTTGGGGGGTGGGGCTGGTGGCAGAGCCGGTCGACGCCAACCACACGTCGTTGCGGGGACAGCAAGCGACGACAACCACATCGATGACACACCCTGGGGCATGTCTTGCGCATGCCGAGAATCGTCAGAACACCGAAACCAGTTTAGTACTGGTGGCGGTCGATGTGACGCTCCCGAATGGCCGAACCGACCACCACCACAACGAAAATGTTCGTGTCGAGATCTGCGGGTTCTCCCCCGAAGGACCCTCCAGTACACTCTACTTAGTTGTGGTTGTTGTCCCCTACTGCGCCCAGAAATGCACACTTCGGCAACGAAGAGGAAGCGAGTCTTACATTAGATGGCGTAGCGACCTTACGCGGCGGCTTGCGCGGGCCGCCAGCGCGGCACGCCACACTTTGAATGAGGGCGTTTACGCGCAACCTTACGCGCGCCGCTCACGCACCGACGTCGGTGAAGACGAACCCGTTGTCCTGCGCCGCTTTCTTTAGAAGGCAACTCCTGGGAAACACTCGTAAGACCGATTAAGGCCTATTGAGCCCACATGGGGTGTGCCATTGAGCCAGTTTAGCTGGGATCGAGCCTGGGGCTAGGCAGCAACATGCGGGATCAGACGGTATTAAGCGAGATTCTGCCCGAGTCGGCCCATGATACACCAGTATCGGTGATGGATGAAGAGGAGGAAGAGGCAGGAGGAGAAGGAGGAGGAGGGAGAGAAGTAAAAAGGAGGAGGAGGAGCGAGGGGGAGGTGATGGACTCAGCTCACCAAGAGTTGCATCGTAAGACGCCGTGGGCAGTCCGTGCGGCGAGGTCTTCGGGATGTCGAGACCATCGGACACGTTCTGATGAGAGAAGGGCTGCCCGGATCCCCCGCGACCCTGACCACGGCTCTCCTCGCGAGGCGCCCCGCCAGATCCGTCTCGCATGGTGAAGCTCAGCTTGTTCGTCTCGGTGTCCGCACTCTGGAGCTTCACCCTTACCTTGCGAGGGGGAGCGCGAGGATGGGAAAGACTGGCGAGGGGTGGAGTGGAGGGGAGGCGCGGCAGGAGCGAAGGGGCAGCGCGGGGGAGCGCGCGGGACAAACAGCACGAGCGGGCGGAGTGCGCGCCTGCTGGCCCACCTCGACGAAGTCGTTGACGTTCTCCACGAAGGTGTCCGCGATCTGGGACACGTGCACCAGGCCCTGCGCCTGCTCGCCGCTGTCCAGGGTGACGGAGACGAAGGCGCCGAACGGGGCGATGTTGGCAACCTCGCCGTCGAACCACTCGCCGACCTTGTCCACGAACAGGGAGGCGTCGGCTCGCGCGCGGCCGCCGCCGGCGCCGTCCGTCTTGCCCTCGATCATGGTCAAGCCGAACTTGCCGTCGTCGCGCAGACCGCTGATCCTGAGGGAGGTCAAGCAATCAGGGGACGGTCGGACCTCCTCCTCACCCTCCTGTTCCACCATTCTCGCCCTCCTCCCTGCTGGCAGCGTCCTGTTCCGTCTCCACGTTCCCCCACATCCTCCTCCTCCTCCTCGTCCTGCTCCTCGTATTTTCGACAACCATTCATCGAGAGCGAACACGATACGACACATTCACATGTACAAATCTGCGCGAAAGATACCCTGCCAACCAAGTCAGCAGGCAGAATTCTTAGCTTTGTGATGAAGCCTCTGGACGGTGCGTCTATTCATGATGTCGTTCGGCAACCATTCCCTCCCCCCACAATCCGCCCGTCTCCCCCTCTCCCCAACCTCCTGCTCCTCCTCCTCACCCCCTCCCCTTCCTGTTCCTACCTCCCCCTCGCGGTCCTCCCTCCCCACTTCCTACCTGTATCATCTTGCTCCGCCCACACCTCCTGCTCCTCTTTCCCCTATGCCTCCTCCTCATCCTCCTCCCTCGCTCTCCCTCCTCCTCCGCCTCGCCGAGACTCGTTGGCCCAATTACTCTCGCCACGATCCTATCCCTGGGGTCGGCTTCCGATCGAGAATAGTCTTCGTGACGGACCTGGGGCCCAAAACACAAAAGCGGCCCCCTGACGCCAAAAAGACAATAAAACACTCTGGCGCGACTTCGGAGGAGAAGAAAACAGGGACCGTGACCGCGACTGCACGCGGAAACGTCGTGCGGTCAGCGTCGATTTCAAGATCCTCTTCCGACCAAGACCAATTGCATCGTCGACAAGATCCCGCCACATCTTGGCCCCGCCCTCGGCTTTTGTCACGATTCGCCAGGGAGGTCTGGAATGAGATGAGGCGCAAGCTCGGGCGCCGCGGTGGCTTTGGCCCGCCCCAGCGGTCCAGACCTCGACCTGCTGGTCCTCCTCGAGCTCAGCGTAGATGTCATCGATCCTGTCCCTCGAGATGGAGGAGATGTGCAGGAGCCCTTCGCCCTCGGCGCCGATGTCCACGAACGCGCCGAAATCCCGGACGTTCCTGTCTCGTGAGGCATCGGGCTGCGCGCAAGCAGCCCCCCCACCCCCAGGCAGTCTCAGCTGGCCTCGGCAGGCCCCGCGAGAGTCCCAGCTGGCCTCCACAGTTTACCAGCCTCGAACGTATCCCTATCCCTAAGATTGACACGCCAAAAGGCGATGACAATCTTAGGGATCCGCCCTCAAAAAATAAGGGAATCCCTAAGATTGGCATCGTGATGAAGAGATGCCCAGCATAGGGATAGGGATATGTTCCAGGCTGGTAAGCAGCCCCCTCGAGTAAATCCTGGGGTGGTCTCAGCACGCTGACCCCAGGGGTGCCGACAGAGGCGCTGCGGTGCCAGGGTCTCGAGGCCGCCCTGGGCTGCTCGGGGGTGCCTGTGGAGGCCGGCTGGGACTGCGCGGGGAGCCCGTCGAGGCGAGCGGGGATCACCGGGGGGGGGCGGCCATCTGAGCGCATCGGCCGAAGCCTGATCGGGGATCTTCTGACCTGGGTCAATCCAGACCCGGGTCAGCAGGAAACCAAAAACTGCAATGCAAGAAGAAAAACTGCAACGCAGGTCTTCGCAAACCCGGGTCCGCCAATAGGCGCGGCCGCCTCGCGGCTCGCTGACCCGGGTCAGCCAGAGGGGGTCTTCCCAGGATCCTGCAGGATCCGGCGCGCTGGCTGACCCCCGTTTGCGTTGACCCACGTCTCAATAGGGAGCCCACAAAGGACGTACGCGCCCAGCTATGTACATGAACACGGCCCCCCGATCTGCGAGACCGGCCGCGTGATACAAACTTTCGGGCAGCGCGAACTCTCGAAACCAGCGTAGATTCATGTACGTGTACGTCCTTCTTTCGCTCCTGACTCAAGGCTCCCGACCTGACCCGCTCCTCACGGTGCCGGTGTACTTCTGGCCGACCTCGAGCTGGTCGAAGGGTATGGGCGGGATCTTCATGTCCTTGGGGCTCATGGGGCTCTCCTCCGGCCCGCCGTCCGGGTCGTCCCACTTCACCTGGAACGTGCCGTCGTCGTTGGCCTTGAGCACCACGGCCTTGGTTTGAGATAGATACAGGTAACAAAGCCATGCGTATACTACAACTACTTGTAAGTGTGTATACATATATATATATGTATATAGAGAAATGCTGCTTGGTAAAGCACCAAGGCCTCGTACATCATACCGTCCTCCGGAAACTTGGCTAACACCTGGTCGCCCTTCTTGTAGTCCTTCTTGACCTTGACCCTCTTCATGCTCTCCCAATGGACGTCGGCGGTCTCGGGGCCCCCATCGGGGTCGTCCCACTTGACGCGGAACTTGTCCTCGGCCAGCACCTCTAGAGGGCAGAAAATCCACCCCGATAATATCCACCCCGACACGCGAAGCCGTTTAGTAAACGCACCCAAAGAAGGAATGAAACAAGGCAAGACTGTTTAGTGAACGCCCAAGGCCGTTTAGTAAACGCAGATGGTCCAGTCAGGGTGGTTTTCCCTCCCTTGAACCTCCGCCACCACGCCAGGGTACCATCGCTCGTCGTCTGGAGAGATGGCCCTGCAGTCGTCGCCGACCTGCGGGAGCCAAGAAGGAATCGGCCATGCCTCGGGCGCTCGCTTGGTCTTGTCGGCATGGCCGCGTGCAAGCCTGCCTGCTCGCGCGCTTGAAGGGCAACTTTCTCTCGCAGGCGCCAGGTTGTCTGCCTCCGTGTTTGTTTGCTTGCGTGGACGTTCGCCTTCTGGATCACATGCGTTGGGTCGCAGAGTGTATGTCACGCTATGGTATGTGATTGTATATGTTGTGCTCGCGTGCGCGCGCGCGCGTGAATGCTTGTCAGTGTGCCTGCCTGCGCGCTTGACTGTCGGTCTGCGCTTTGTCGCTCGATGCGCTAATTCTGGCAACTGCGCTCGCCCGGTTGCGGCTGCTCGCGGTTGCATGCTTCCTTCACTGCGTAGTTGCGGCCTTCTCCTTGCGATCGCTTGTCCTTGCCAACCATGAGTTACGTATCGGATTGCCTAGTGGTGTACTGATATGGGTAGCCCATGCTTGCGCGAAATACCATGCACAACTGTGGTGCCCATGGGCTACCATGGGTAGCCCATGCCTGCGCGGGTTACGTATCGGATTGCCCTGTGGTGTACTGACCGGAGTACAAGATACCATGCATGGCGGTACATGTGCCTGCCGCTATGCTTACAATAGCTGGCTTGCCCTGCTGTGTCCACTCGTTCATTTGATTACCCCGTCTTCCTCACCTCGCATTCCGTCCATTACCAAGCCTTTTCACGATCATCCAACAAGCGGGTCCGCACATCCGTGCTTCGGCTTCTCCCGCGGAGAAAACAAGATGACTACATGTACATACGTCATGCCTCACCATGTTCCTCACCCGTCTAGGCCTTACCTGGTAATCCTTGTAGAAGAACAGCTTCTTGATGCAATCCTCCGAGAGGGTGTTCGTCTCTGGCCCACCGTCAGGATCGTCCCACTCGACCACCCAATTGATGCCGTCGGCCTCCTCAGACGATTGGTTCAAACTCCTACTTCCTCTCCCCTTCTCCTCATTCCTTCTTCCGCATGTTTCCCTTTTCTCCCATCCTCATTCTCATACACCTCGCCCCTTTCCCCTCTACCGTTCCCCCCCTCATCGTTATCACTCATCTTTTGCAGTTACACTGTACTGCAATTGCATTCAGATCCCGAGACATCCTCAACCTCACACGCATCTTAATGTATTGCCGACGGCACCTCGGAAATCAACATCAACAGTCAACCGACACGTCCCAGCCAGATCGAAAACTAAACCAACAATTGTAGAGACAGTAGTGCCTCTTCCGCCTCCCCTGCTCATCCATCCTCCTCATTCATCCTTCGTCCCATGCGCCCTGCTTTATCCTTGTTCCCTGTTGCCAGTTCCCTCCTCCCTCATTCTGCTCGTTCTGCTGGCCCTCTTCGTCATCCGCCTCCTGCTTATTCTTTTCCTCCTACTCCTCCGCCCCCCTTGCCTTCCTCCTCCCTCTCTCCCTCCATGTTCCTTCCATGGCCGACAGCCGCGTCGGAATGGATGGGGTCGGAAGGTCGCGCCGCATCACCGATGTATTGGCGACGTCGGCGATGTCGAGAGCGGCCAAGAGGGGTCCAAGAGGGGGGGGGTACAAATCATGACCGGCGGCATGTGCGCGGCCCAGCGGGGGGGCCAGGGACGCAATGGAGTAAGCAGAGGCGCCATGAAATCTGAAATATCATGGCCCCCGCCATGATATCCACCCCCCCCTAGTCACCACCCCCCTCTTTGCCGCTCCCGACGATGCGTCGGCGCCGTCGGCGCGGAGACAACCGGGCTCCACACAGCGCAGCACTGGCGATGCATCGGCCGGTGCGGCGCGATCCTCCGACCCCATCAGCTCCGCCCCCGTCCGGGAGGCCTGGGCTCCCTCTCGGGCGCTGCTGAATAGAAGGGCGCATAAAGGTGCGGGGCGGGTGAGACGTGCACCTTTCCTCACCCCCCGCGCATTCAACGCCGCCCCCTTACGCAACGCCTGAAGGAGGAGGAGGAGGAGGAGGAGGAGGAGGAGGAGGAGGAGGACCCTCGACGCTCCTTGATCCTGGCGGGGTACCAGCCCTCGTCGTCCGGGGACTGCGCCTTCACCTTGCACCCGACCTCCGGGGCTTCGTGGGCGGCAGGGGGAGCCCGCGGCGGACATCCAGGAGGTGCGGAGACGCAGGGGGCGAGAAGGAAGGGAACTAACCAGCCTCGAACTTATCTCCATCCCTAAGATGGGCGTGCAAAAGGCGAGGACTATCTTAGGAATGTGCCCAGAGAAACTGCGGTCATCCTTAAGATCGGCATCGAGGTGAGGTGATGCCGAACATGGGGATAGGGATATGTTTCAAACTGGTAAGGAGCGACGCGAGGGTGAGAAGGAGGAGGAGGAGGAAGAGGCGAGCGAAGTTGGGAAGGGCTGAGGAACGGGTTGGGGAAGGGGCCCAGGGTACAGCGGGCGAGCGGAGGGGGGGAGAACATCGCGAGGTTGAGGGGGGCGAGGGGGGAGGGAAGGCTAGGAGAGGGAAGTGCGGGGGGGGAATGATTAGATGGTTTTGAACCAACACGACTGCGGAGCGAACCCCCGCATCACAATCACTCACAGTTCCTTTCCAAGGGATATGTACTATGCACTGATACACTCCTCCTCGGCCAGTCGCTCCTTGCGGCGCCGCCGATACACCAGTGCACCAAGCTGAAATCAGGCGTCTTCGCGCCTATACACACAGTTATAATACTCTCTCGGCCGGCCACCGGCCCAAGTCGTGATTACATAGCCGCCCTCAAAGACAGCTCACTCCTGCCCTGCATGATCACGAACCCGCACCGGTCCATGAAGAAATCGATCGCATCACCGCTGAGATGCTTCGTCATCATGTCAGCTGTGTTGAGCTCACCCGGCACCTTGATGAGCCTCGCCAACCTCTCGTGGTAGATGGCCTGTACCCACAGGTACTGGGTGTGTAGGTGCCGCACCTTGCCAGCACCAAGCCTGAGCGCCATGCCGCGCCCGGCTGTCGCATCCGTCTCAACGACCAGGCCCTTCTTCATGCCGTAGTCGCTGCACATACTCTGAGCGCCCAGGCCGACGCTCGTTCCTCGGACGATCGCGTAGAACTCCGACTCGCCGCTCGACAAGGCAATCACCGTCTGAGTGTTGGCGGTCGCCTTGAGCAGATGAGCACCGTGGTACAGGGCAATGCCCGATGTGCTCCTCCGTGTTATCACACAGCCCGCATGGTCCGAATCGCAGGCTACCTTGATCACTTCTGGCTCGTCTTGCTGAACGAACCGCTGCACCATCCTCGGCCGGCGTAGCAAGTACCGCCCGATGCGCTTCACCATCTCCATGGCTACCTGGGTCGGCTTGCTCATCCACCTGGCCGCTTCCTTCGCCGCGAAGAGCAGGTCGATCCTGTCCATCGCGAGGTAGTTGATACGCATACACACACTCCTGAACAGCGCCGCGTCCGCAGCGCCGAGTGGAGGAGATTCGGTCAGCTCCTCCACCGTCCTCTTGATCCCTGGCGATGTCACCGCCTTGCTGCCCTTATCCAGGTTGAGCTTCAGCTGGGTCGCGACGATCTCGACGTGGCGGGCGTCTGCTTCCCATTCCAAACAAGGGATGCCGGCCTCGGTCTTGTTCAGCCTGACAATCCTGTTGAGCAGCGCGATCTCCCGCAAGTCGCCGTCGTCCCAACCAAGAACTCCTCGAACCTTCACCAGCAGCCGCTTAGACAGCTCGGTCCTGAACCACTCCAGGGCGTCATCGTCGCCCTCGCTCACGAAGTCGCCCCCGTGGTAGAACAGCAGGATGTCCATCTCGTCGTGCCGGCACAGGCACGGGCTGAACACTCCAATCTTGAAACCCATCTCGCGCAGCACCTCCATCACCTTGTCGGCAAAATTGGCCGCTGCGTCTCGCGTGCCGTACATGCTCTTGAGCAGCAGCGCGCAATATCCTTCTCGGCGTCGCTCAGCAGGAAGCTGTACGAACACTCGTCGGCGTGCAGGACTGTGGAAGTGTGCCCGGCTGATGTCAATGAACATTAGCTTGCGCTTCCTGCAGTCGCCCCGCTTCCGACTCATCATTCTGCTGAACAGCATCTTGACCCCTTCCTGTGGCGGTGTCGCCGAGAACACGTCGTCTCTGAAAATCCCTGCCTTCTGCTGCGCGCTCTTCAGCTCCTTCGCGACCAGCCTGCACCGCATCTCCGGTCGAGCCTCGTCGCCCTTGTTGATGTCTACCCACTTGACCGGGATAGGCTTCGCCTTGGTCTCCTCCCAACAGAGGGACTCTGGGACCTCCTGGAGCACCTTCATGTCGCCCATGTACTTGAGCTCCTCCTCCCGGCCGGCCCGCGCCATCTTCGCGTCCAGCAGCTGGCCCGAGATGTTATCGCGGAACTCCTCGTACTCCTCCATGTCCCATTCCACGGCGTCCTCCTCGCAGGTGACGCCCACGGTGAACGCGCTCAGGTCGCCGTTGATCCTCAGCTGAGCCGTCAGGCCCCTGAGGATAGCTGCTACTAGGGCCGGCGGGTAGTTCTGCGCAGGCCGCGTCCTCGCACTGCCGACCAGCGGGACATGAACATGCCACTCGCTCTTGGGCAGGCTCTCGTTCTCGCACCTGCGGGATACCTCCTCCAGGATGCACGGCGAGTTGCTCAACCAGCCGGTGGGCTTGAGGACCGGCCCCATCTCGCCGTCGTAGTCGACCGTCTGCTGGCCCCAGCAGCACTGGTGCCCCGTCACGCGTGAGACACCCTCCATCTCCATCAGCTCGGCCATGAAGTCCAGCTTCCAGCTCCACGCTTGGTCTGGGTGCTCGTGCAGGAAGTAGCGTCCCTCCCGCACCTGCTTCTTGTACTGCTTCACGCAGAATCGAAGGTGCCTGATACCCTCGATGACCTTCCGCTCGTACTCCTCTGGGTCGCGATCCTTGTTCAGGTTCATGATGGCACTGAACGCCCTGCACGTTGGCGACCCGATCAGGGCGCACGGCTTCTCGTAGTCGATGATCTCCTCGCACGGCGCCTGCCGGTCTGGGTCCGACAGGTCCCGCTGCACCCCGTTCTCGTCTGTCAGGCGTAGGTCGAACGCGTGCCCCGGGTTGAGGCCGAACGACTCCGCCCTGCCGGTGAACTTGCCCGGCCCGAACAGCTCCGTCACGTGCACGCCGAAGAATCCCAGGTCCCTCACGAGGCCCTTGACCTCCTCCAGCAGGTTGGCGTCCATGGTCTCCTTGGCGCCCGGCGGGTCCTGGCTCTCGGCCTGCCGCTTCAGGTTCGTCCGCGAACTCTCGTCCATCGCCTCTTGCGGCTCTGGCGCCGCTCGGGTCTCGACCCGCATCTTCGCGTCAGATCCCGAGCTCCTGTTGTAGATACCACCTCCGAGCGCAGCGTGGATCATTGCGCTCGACGCCGATATATCTCGATCAGCTCGAGCAGGTTGTGCTTGCCCAGCTGCTGCTCCTGCTGCGGTCGATTTAGCAGCCGAAGCGGGTGCGCCACTGCTGCCTCCTCCGACCGCCTCCTCCGTGTCGACCGCCTGCTTCTCAGCCGGCCGTTTGACTCCTTGCCGCTCCTCGGCTATCCTTACTCGCTTACTCATCTCGAAGTCCTCCTCCATGAGCTTCGTGATCCTTGCCCTGCAGGCCTCACTGTGGCTGCGGGCCGGGAGTCCCAGGGCGTAGCTCTCGCAGCCGACGCACCCCTCGGTCCTCCCGAACTTCTTGATCTCTACCTCGTTGCGGATGTAGACCCGCCTCGGTCCAGGAACACCTCCTGCACCGGTCCCCGGCCGCAATGCCCGCGGCACGACTGGCAGAGGCGCCTCGTCGGACGCCTTCGCGATCGGGAATCGCGCCGCCGGCGCATCCTCCCCGTCCTTGACAGCACCTGGCACTGGCCGCCATGGTGTGCCCTGCAGCTTCTTCAGCAGCTCGCCGTTGTAGCGGTCGTCCCCGGCCTTCCGCTTGACAGCCCTGGCCCTGACCACGCCCAGCTCCAAGCCGATATACAGCTCCTGGCTCTTCAGCTGCACGCCCAGGTAGATACCCGTCAACCACTTGGCGTCCAGCTTATTCTTGTGGCCCCTATTCCTGTCCGCCGGCAGGTAGTGCACCGTCTCGGCGAACGGTGGGAGCTCCTTGCGGTACTTCTTTCCGCGGATCCTCTCATACGCCGTGCGCCCATCCGCGCCGACGTCGAACAGGCTGATCACCACACCTGCGTAGTTGATGAGCCACGGCACGATCACGTGGTCATGCCCGATCTTGATGTCGTACTGGCGCTCCACCGCCAGCTTCAGGGTCCGCACGATACCGCTCACGGACTGCACCGCCCGCTCGATCGCGCCGTTGGCCTGGTGTTCCTCCGCCGGGCTCTCCTCCTTCACGATCTTGAAGTTCTCGCCCAGCGCCTCGATGACCTTATTCTTCAGGTCCATGATCGAGGCCTCCTGGTCGCTCTTGAAGATGAAGTGCTTCACCCCCGTGTACTCGATGGCCTCCGCCACCCACTTGATGATCCCGACATCCTTCGTGCCCTTGCTCGTCACGGCGATCGATACTGTCCATCGCCCTTTGTGTTCCCGCAGCACCAGTGTAGGTTCTGCTCGCTCGTCGTCTCCTCCAAAGAACGTGTAGTCGATGGAGATCGTGTTGACCAGATGCTCTCGCTCGGCGTCCAGTCGCTTATGATCAGCATTACGGCCGCGTCCTCCCACGCAGTCGCCGCACCATGCCCTGAACTGCACGTGCCCTGCCGCCTCGTGCGCCTCGCGCTCGGCCATCGTCGGCTCGAACGGTCGTGGGACCACCGTGACCGGTGGGTCGCCCATATCGTCATCCTCCTCGTCCTCCAGCTGGGCCTCCACGGGTTCCGCCGCTGCCGGCGCTGCCGAAGAGCTCCCGCCTCCAGCACTCGGTCTTACTGCCGCGCAGGCCGGCTGTTTCCCGACACTGCGCTGAGGTCCGGAGCCGACCGCTCCTGACCAGTGACCTTCTTCAGCTTGATCGTGTATACTCCACGTCGTAGGTGGATCGGCAGCCTCCTGCCGCTCGCGATGTGCTTCAGGTAGCACTCCCTCGGCCCGAAGTAAACCTCGTGGCCCTT